GAGTACTCCCCCTGTTGTTGTAAGAGTATTTAGGACCAGAAGTGAGGATATGTTGTGGTGGCGTGATACTGTTGAACTGTCAACGAACTGAGGTAAGTTTGCTATATATATACCTCTTAACTCGTTGATTAGGTTGATTAACAGTGTGCTCCACTCGTGTCTAATTAGGTTTGATTACCTGAATGTGCTCCATATTTGTCCTAAACAGGTGTGGCTTAAAATCCCATCCTCATGCGATTCAAGGTATAGTCAGGTCTATTCTACTTGAATTAAGAGATGAACCGTTCATAGGTGATAAACTACGAGAAATCAGGGACGAACTTCTGGACAAATCAAGTTTCATGGAATTCATGTTTAAGGACATTATAGAAGACAGTTGACTTTATTGACGCTTAAGTCATCGAGTACTACAGTGAATCAGATGATGATGAATGTGATGATGGTGATGATGATGTTAAAACCAAACATGTAAGAAATCTCAATCAAACAAATGCAAATGTTAAGAGGCTTAGCTTATTCATGGGCTAATTTAGCAAACATTTGCATCAATGGTTTTGAAAAGCCATGCGTACTGAATATGGTACGTGAATGTAGTAATGAGTTTGAAATCCCTGACGTGCTCTGTATGTGCATGTACAGTATGTATCAGATGTATGTTGGCCACTGATTTCAAAACAAAAAGACAATGATGAGTACGAGTACGACAGCAACAGAATTATTGAAATGTTTGTCAATTACATCCTAGATTGACTATTTTGTCCAATGCATTACACCGGCACAAATATACCATTGTCGCCAATTAAGCAAAACTAAACGCAATGGGCCACCGATGTGTGAGTTTTATAGGCTGTTCAAACAAAAAACAAAAAATAAATAAATAATGATTTTTAAGTATGAGATGTATCGGCCCACCAGGCAAATGCCCGGTATGCCCTCCAGCCCTGATTTAATGGCATGACAATCTTTTACATTTCAAATATAGTGTACAAATAAGGAATAATAGAAAAAAAATGTTTTATTTTTCAGTGAATTAAGATTGTACAGTAAAGGTTTAACCAGTTGTAACATCAGAAACAAATCAACTAAAAACAGAAAAAAATGACCTAAAACCAACATCAGCAAAAGTGTTGTTCAGCAAGTTCAATGAACTTATTAAACATTATCTTTCTCATGTTCTTTCTGAAACTACTAAAGCAGGTCGTAGTAAATAATCAATATTCGGAAAGACTATTTGTCAGGACTCTAGTTTGATCTTCAGCCTTTCTGCTGTGTTTCCATCCATCCTAATCAGTGCTCTCACTCTCATTACTCACACCTGTTTTTACACTCCTTGAGTGCTATTTTGACCCTCTGTAACTTCAGAATCACTGAAGGAAAGAAGAGAATAGAAAAAGAGACGAGCAGAAACACAAGAACTACAACTGACTTTAGACAAAAAAAACATTAAATCTGAAGATCTCAGCAATAACATTGATTGGTGTGGGAATGTGTACTGATCTGTGATCTGTTATAAGTCAGTTAGTTGAGTCTCATCTGGCGACTGACTGTGGCGTAATCAGAGTGAATCTCGTTCTTACTGACAGTGACTGAAGCTTCACTGATCGACTCTTCATGCTTCTTGAAACTGACAGATGCATAAAGGAGCCCATCAGAGGGGATTGTGGGTAGTTCATCATGACTGTTAATCTGAGCTGATCCAGGATCCAAGAGAGTATCACATCTGCTGTCTGAACATGATGACTGAACATGAAAAATAGAGAGGAAAAGTACATTAAAAGGAAAATATATATATATACAAACACACACACTGCGACTCACCAATGTATTTTTCTCCCTCTTTCTCTTTTCTGATGTCGAGGTTCTTCCTAATTACCAAAAACAAAATGAATCAATTAGTGAAACACAGACAAACTAGATCAACTGGAGACGAACAGCAGAGCAGCATCTGAGACAGAAACTCATTGAAGCAGAACAGAGACTCATTTAGTATTTGTTTCAACAGATAATATATGATCAAACCTCGTATCATGTGTCGTAATTTACACACAGTCAGAGTGAATCCACCAATCAGCAGCAGCAGACTCACACACACACAAATACTGATGATCATGGAGACATCTGAAAGTAAAACACACAAACACATCCCCAATTTTCAGCCCAAACATGAACATTTTACAGAAGGCTGAGGAAAAGCACACCTAACACACCTGACTCTGTGTTAAAGGAACTAGATTACTCTCCAGTCACATGAGTGTATTTCAGGCTCTCGTCTGCAGATCTGCTCGCTCTACTTTTTCTGTCTCTGTCGAGCCTCATGTGGTCTCACTGTGGGTTTCTGAAGACTGTAATTCTTCACAGTCAAATTAAACTGAGACTCTGAACCTTCAGCTTATTTTTGTGGTTTTCATATGGTATTTAAAAAACCCGTTTATCGCAAGCATAGTGACAAAAAATACTGCAAACACAGACACAGGATACTTTCTCAGAGGTTCTTTAAGGGGGTTTTCACACTGGCAGTTTAGATCGGAACGGGGTGCGGTTCACATGAAAAATCGCATGGGACCCAAGTGCGCACTGGGATACCGAACCCGAGACTACCCGGCAGAGGTGGGGACAAGTCACACATGGTCAAGTCCAAGCAAGTCTCAAGTCTTAACCATCAAGTCTCGAGTCAAGTCTCAAGTCGCAGTTCAGATAAATCAAGCAAGTCAAGTCAAGTCAAGGGTTCACCCTAAGCAAGTCAAGTCAAGTCCTGATAAGTTTCAAGTAAAGTCAAGTCACACTACTAAAATAAATAGAGGTAAATTTTTTCGATACATATTTATTTTTGCACAGAAAAGATGAACTTTTATACATATATTATGTATCTTATTTAATATACATTTGCTATATTAATCATATGCATATCTGTGCTACATTAATATCTGAAAATAAAATAAAATTGTGTTGTTTACACAAAACGTTCAGAGTCTAAGATGTATCGATTCTAAGATGTATAATCCAATCTGTCTAATTCAATTTAATTGAAACGGTCTAAAATGTATGAAATCTAAAATGTAATATCTTATATCTTATATAAATGTAAAATATAAAATCTAAAATGTATGAAATGTATGAGAATATAAAATGCAATTTTTTTTTTAATTTAGTAGTTTTTCTTATCATAGCCAACAAATGTCTTCGGAAACTCCTTTTCCTTGATTTACTGAAACCTATATGTAAAACGCATTTGCAGCTGCACAGCCGTGTATATCTATGCTGCATATACAGACATCCCAACCTACAAGAATTCTTTTCAGGGAGGTATATCTCAATGAATTTAATGTTAGGGAGGGGGGGGGGGGGGATATAAAATATGTTAATAAATATCAAATATGTTAATATGTTATATTAACATATTTAAAATATGTTTAAAAGAAATATAAAATAAAAATGGTAATATGTTATATTAACATATTTTATATTTAATAAATATTACATATTAAATAATATTATGTATATTTTATATTAAATTTACATAAATATTAACAAATGATTGTTTTAATTATGGAATTCTCCATAATTAACTCCTAAACTTCAGTAGAGAACAATTCTTTGTAAGGAAGGAGGGGTTTCTTTATTGTACATTTATTTGCATGTAGTATGTAGCATATGGTTTGCGTTGCTTTAAATTGGTCAGTGCAGTGCTGACTATTGAGTGTCGCTAGGAAACACGTCCGCGCTGCGCTGACGAATCGGCTGCGCGGCTCGGATCATTGAACCGTGCAGATGACATGTCTGCGCGGCACGAGCTCTGTAAAGCCCCGCTGTCTCGTCCCACTTTTGGTTTGTTTGGCTTCCCATATCTCTGCCGTGCACACGCCGCACGCTATGTATGTTATACGCGCAGTATCTCACTCTAGATTCCGGGAGATTTTAACTCATTTGCGGGCATCAGGGGACGCTATCAATATGCGTGAGACTCCCGGAACTTCCGTTTGGCGCGGTTTGAATTAAGCAGCGTTAAAGGCACAGATGCCGATATAGTGATGCCGACGTCACAATATATATATATTTTAACTGTATTGCTGTTTGTTTATTATATGTTCAAGTCATTGTCGAGTCTTCCACTTCAAGTCAAGTCAAGTCTCAAGTAACTTGTTCTCAAGTCAAAGTCAAGTCAAGTCATTTTTGTACTTTAATCAAGCAAGTCACAAGTCCTGAAAATTGTGACTCGAGTCAGACTCGAGTCAAGTCATGTGACTCGAGTCCCCCACCTCTGCTACCCGGAGGAGGTTGCTACCGAACCGTGCCGTGGTTCGCGTGAATGTGAAAGCGACACAGACTTAGTTGTTAATACATCACTTGTTCTGACTGCTAGTTGCACAGTATGTTCTTGATTTACTTAAATGAATCAGTTCATAAGAGTCATTTTTTCATGAATCGGACAACACTGTGCATATTTTTTATTCAATGAAAAAACAAATGATGTAGTGGAAATGTTTGGGGTTTTTTTTGCCCCTCCCCTCACATCTCACCCATACCTGATTGTTTAAGTGTTGATATGAGACAAGATACAAATACGATAAACTGGCTTACCTTTGTTGATGCTTAAATGCACTTTAGTGAAGATATGAGATCCTCCATCACGTCTCACTACTGGAGCCACAGCAAACAAACAAACACAAAAACATATCTAAATATTTACAGGAATAGTTTAATTACTCATATTCTCTGCTAGACAGTTGATGGACCCCATTTTAATTTTTAAGTGAACTTTCCTTTAACACACATGATTCTGAATATACTGTATTTACAGTCATGAAATCATCTGAATTGACTCACTGAAGAGGTGGAGCTGAATTTTGGTGGTCAGGGAGATGAAAGTCAGATGTGTGTCTCTGGTTTCGGCTCCACACCAGTAAACTCCAGCATCTCTCACACTCACATTACTGATGCTCACTGTAAAAACTCTCTCTTCATTTCTCTCAGATGAAGGACTCATTTCTGTCACTGCAGATGTGCTGATGTTTTGACAGATGTGATCATCAATCTCTCTACAGAAATGAACTCTATGATCCTCTGGGATCTGACAGGTGATGTTGACTTCTTCACCAAGATGAGCAGATTCAGTCACAAACGTTACATCTGTAAACCAGAAGAAAGTGCATAAAATATGAACCAATGCAAGATAAAGTATATCCGGTTCCTCACCGTCTCTGACGTCCAGCTGTAGTTCAGTGAAGCTCTCAGTATAGTGAGACTCATTCACTCCACATCTGTATGTTCCTGCATCTGCAGTTTTCAGCTCTCTAAAAAACACCATCAAGACTCCTGCTCTGGTGTCGTCATATAAAGAAACATCTCCATTCTCCACCCATTCATCCTGAACTCCTGGATTCTTCCTCTCTGAACATCTGTCTGATTCTCTACAGATGTATTTTGGCTTGGTTTTGTGTTGAGGATGTTCACACTTGATCATCATACGGCCTCCTGAGTGGCCAGTCGCTCTAGACACACCCACTTTAGCTGTCAATCACACATATCATTAAACCTCAAAGACAAATGTTGTGGTAACACTTTACAATACTGTTTCTTACTCCATTACTAATAATACATTATGGAAGAACTAATTGTTTATTAACACTTAAGTCATTGCTGTTAAATACTAAGGAAGATGCGTACTAATGGAATTTTATGATTGTGTTAAGTCACGACCAGATGAAAACACTAACTTATCTAAATTGACAGAGTTTCTTAAAGATATAAAATGCTGGATGATGTGTAATTTCCTGCTATTAAATTTAGATAACACGGCGGTATTACTTTTTTGGCCAAAAAAAAAAAAACGAAACAAAACCTCTTACAATACAACTATACTTTAGAAGGATGTCCTGTTACTTTATCCACTACAGTAAAAGACCTGGGGGTTATACTAGACCGCAACTTGTCTTTCGAAAATCATATTTCATATGTTACAAGAACAGCCTTTTTCCACCTTGCAAACATTCCCAAGCTTATTTATTTTCTTATTTATTAGTTATTTTTCTTGAACCTTAATTAGTAGATAATTAATGGTAGTTTTAGGGAGGTATGACAGAATTAATTCATTTTTGATTAACTAACTGATACTTAACACAATCATAAAATGCCATTACATATTGATAAGTTACAGATCTACACATTACGCATTAGTACCCAGCCAACATTTGTATGTGGGGCCCATATGGGTATGAAATGGGCTGAAAAATGGGCCCCATGTAGGATTGTCCGCGGGTTACATAATGGCCCCATGTTAATTGCCCAGATAAATTTCATGTTGGATTGCACTTGGTACTACGCCGGACCCAAGTGGGCAACATGCACAAGACCCATCTCGGTCCCAGCTTTAACCCAGCCGATATTTATATGTGGGGCCCATGTGGGTTTGAAATGGGCTGAAAAATGGGCTTTGATTGGGATTGTCCGCGGGTTACATAATGGCCCCATGTTAATTGCCCAGATGAATTTCATGTAGGATTGCACTTGGTACTAGGCCGGACCCAAGTGGGCAACATGCACAAGACCCATCTCGGTCCCAGCTTTAACCCAGCCGATATTTATATGTGGGGCCCATGTGGGTTTGAAATGGGCTGAAAAATGGGCTTTGATTGGGATTGTCCGCGGGTTACATAATGGCCCCATGTTAATTGCCCAGATGAATTTCATGTAGGATTGCACTTGGTACTAGGCCGGACCCAAGTGGGCAACATGCACAAGACCCATCTCGGTCCCAGCTTTAACCCAGCCGATATTTATATGTGGGGCCCATGTGGGTTTGAAATGGGCTGAAAAATGGGCTTTGATTGGGATTGTCCGCGGGTTACATAATGGCCCCATGTTAATTGCCCAGATGAATTTCATGTAGGATTGCACTTGGTACTAGGCCGGACCCAAGTGGGCAACATGCACAAGACCCATCTCGGTCCCAGCTTTAACCCAGCCGATATTTATATGTGGGGCCCATGTGGGTTTGAAATGGGCTGAAAAAATGGGCTTTGATTGGGATTGTCCACGGGTTACATAATGGCCCTATGTAAATTGCCCAGATGAATTTTATGTAGGATTACACTTGGTACTAGGCCGGACCCAAGTGGGCAACATGCACAAGACCCATCTCGGGCCCAGCTTTAACCCAGCCGACATTTGTATGTGGGTCCCATGTGGCTATGAAATGAAAAGTGGGCTCTGTATGGGATTGTCCACGGGTTACATAATGGCCCTATGTAAATTGCCCAGATGAATTTTATGTAGGATTACACTTGGTACTAGGCCGGACCCAAGTGGGCAACATGCACAAGACCCATCTCGGGCCCAGCTTTAACCCAGCCGACATTTGTATGTGGGTCCCATGTGGCTTTGAAATGAAAAGTGGGCTCTGTATGGGATTGTCCACGGGTTACATAATGGTGCCATGTAAATCGCCCAGGTGGGTTTTATGTAGGATCGCACTTATAAACAGGTGGGCCCCAACTGGGCCACATGCACAAGACCTATCTTGGTCCCAGCTTTAGTTTTTTGTGGGTACTACAAGGTTACTATATGGGCTGAAATATGGGCTTTAAGTGGGTTTGTCCATAGTTTCCATGCTGGCCCCAGCAACTTGCTGGATTTCAGGATTCAGGATTTCTTTTATACAGGATTTCACAGGGCTTTAGGTGGGGCGCAACTAGGAATCATATGTATGTGGCCCAATTAGGGATCATCTGGGCTCCATCTAAATGAGTAGCAACACCACACAAACAAGTTTTAAAGCATTAGAGCACACAGTGATATTGAAATATTTTCAATTTTATTAAAATTACTCATCATATTATGCTATATTCTGAAATTCCAGGGACAATATTTAAAGAAGCAGATTTATGTCAGATTAAAGAGTTCTATTTAATACCTATTTGTTAAAATACATATTTTGAACCTGTATTTGACCCAGTCTTTACTGAACATTTGAACAGGATATAAATTGGTGACAGTTAGAAGAAGCAGCAACTATACAGTACATTTATCAGTACAGCTTACACTGCAGACAGTCATTTGCGCATCTAGACACTCTCCTCCATCTCTTGTCCTGGACTATTTTGAGAGTTCCCTCTCAGTTCCTTGCCAGTTGATCTGTGTTGTCTTCTTAAGAGCCTCTGCAAAACATTTTTTTTTTTTTTTTTTTAGGGATTTTGATTTTAGAAAAATCATGTTACTTACACGTCACAATACCTTATGACAGAATAACAATTTTTACTCAGGATAAAAAAAAAACAGCAAAAAAATTATATAGGAATGGTGACGGTTTTGGAATGTCACTGGAAGGGCATTTGGGAAATCAATAAAAAACTGTTTATAAAGTATGCATAATAAGTATAATGATTTATGATTACTTTTAAAGTAAAATTAGGAATGCTCCGATCAATCGGCCAGATATTAGGGTTAGGTTAACTAAGTAAGTAAGTAAAAGTTTATTTATATAGCACCTTTCACAGGTACAAGGCAACAAAGTGCCTTACAACAAAAACATTAATATCATAAAATACACACAATAAAAGCATAGACAGTACATGACCATATCATGTAACACAGGTGCCTAATTAAAAGCCTGAACAAATAAATGAGACTTTAGTCTGCATTTGAAGGCATCAACAGAGTCAAAAGAGCGCATATACAGTGGGAGGGGGTTATTAAACGCCTTCTGAAGCAAAGCCATGAGTTTGTGTAAGAAAAATATTCGGTAACGCTTTAGATTACAGCCCGGAATGTACTATGTAATTAAGAGGAATTTACAGTGTAACTTTCTGCAATTATAGTGTACCTATAAAGGACTTGCATGTAAGTATATGGGTAAAGTTTTGGGAATAATGGGGTAACAACCAGGAGAATTAAAAATATATATTTATACTGTAAGTATTATAGAAATAAGGGTTACTTATTCTACTATTATGATACAACAGTCTTACATTTGGGAGCAATTTAGCGAGTACATACACTGCAAACCTTTTTGTAAAAATTGTGTATCAATACTGTATAGGCTTTTTTTAAAGGACAGGGTACATACAGTATATAGGCATTTATACAATTCTTTAATATTTTTAAAAAAAATTATAGCAAAAGTGCAGATGTTTAAGTTTTGGCTAACATGTTTCAAGGCAAGAAAAGCTAAGACTATTGCATTTTTTTTTAAATACTGGGACATATATTTTGTTTGATGTGGTTACAGGGTAAGTGGTGCTTGTATAATAAATAAAGGTTTCCAAGTCAGTGATATAAAACTGTGTATGTATTTTTATTGTACTTACCCTGTAACTACATGGAACAAGGGGGTAACAAGCACCACCACATGAAACAAGTGTATCTTTCCCCAATATTTAAGCAAAAGTTGCAATAGTATCGTTTCAGTGCACTTAAGTAAAAAAGATGACTTTATAAATGCATATGTACCCTGTAATTTTTTTTAAAAGCCTATAATTTTAGAGTAGGTATTGGTTCACCTTTATTTCAAAAAGGTACGCAGTGTACAATTTTCTGGTGAAATTGCTCCCAAATGTAAGATTGTTATCACAATAGTAGGATAAACACCCTTTAGTCCTTTAATACTTATAGTATAAATAATTGTTTAATTCTCCTGGTTGTTACCTCCTTATTCCCCAAACTTAATATATTGTTCCTTTATACTTATATTGTAAGTATGTTATAGGTACACTATAATTACCAAAGGTTACGCTGTTAAATCGCTTTAATTACGCAGTACTTTCCAGGCTGTAATCTAAAGCATTATCAAATATTCATATTTAAAACTTTATTAAATAAAATAACCAGCTTCCGGCCAAGCAAACATACAGATTGCACTTAAGTGTAAAGTGCAACTTATGTGGTTTTAAGTTGATATTTACTCTACACCATTATGCACTACGCTACTTCTGACGTCACAAATTGACCTATGGCTAAGCCATTCAGTCAAACACGATGAGCAGTGCGCACCTAACCTAATACACTCGGACATTCTCTGCTTCCACGTCCATTGAAATGCATTGCAGTTAGTCAGTTTTCATTTTTTGTCATTTTAAGTTTAAAATGGTCAAACGGTGTGCATGGGGTACATACAACTCCGACACTAGGTTCCCGAGAGACTGGGCGACGGTGTGTATTTCTTTACCCTTTCCCAAGCCACTTCTCAACAGAGATAAGTGTCTGCTCTGGATTAAGTTATGCGATTAAGTCATGCGCCGCGGTAGACCACAACAACAACTAAAGTTAGCCTTCTAGCTGCTTTGTACATCATGTCACTTAGCTTAATTAACGTATCTGTAAATAACCGAGATAACAAATGTTAACAATGTTGTGCTGAATGATTCATGTAAATACTGTAGCACCAAACGGTGATGGCAACGATATGCGGTATATCACGTTTACATTGTGACCTGTAAATTACATTTTTGCCTGGAGCTGAAGCTTTTCATCGACCTTCTCAACAATAAAATTATTAATATAACCCTCCAATGCAT